GACCTAATATCGTCCCAGACTTTTGTGTTTCGCTCAATTTAATCCTCCATTTGTTATTCCGTCAAATTGGTGTTAAATAAATGGACAATTCAGTAATGTCAATATTGATCTCTCTTTACTTTCAACTTGTGAAGTGCGAAATTCCTCTTTCTTGTACAAATTACACCCAGAATTACTCCCGGACCTGCAAATCAAATTTTATATTTGCAGTTTTAGGAGTAATTCTGGGAGTAATTCGTAAAAAAAAAAGGATTTCGCAGTTCACATGTCTATGAGTAAAGAGATGCCAATATTAAAATTACTGAATTGTCTATTTATTTAACACCAAATGGACAGAATAACAAATGAGGGACTGAAGCAAAAACACAAAAGTCTGGGACTAAATTGAGCGAAACACAAAAGTTTGGGACGATATTAGGTCACCAAAGTCGTTTAGGACGAAATTGAGAAAAACCACTATAGTCGAGGACGATTTTGGGTATTAACTCAAATAAGAAATGGAGATTGTGGAATTACAAGCATATCTCTCTTATTTTATATTTTATAAAAATTTCATGACATTTTAAGAATTTTTGTTGAGTATTTATTAATCCTATATATAATAAAGCAATATGGTCTTGTGAAAATTAAATGGTGATAATCAACATTTAATTTTCACAAGACCATAATAATATTGTTATTGTGAAAATTAAATGTTAATAATCAACATTTAATTTTCACAAAATCATAATAATATTGTTAATTATAATAACAATAATAATAATAATAATTGCAATAATAATAATAATGATAATAATTTCCACGGACAATTTCTAATATATATATATATATATATATATATATATATATATATATATATGTATGTATATATATGTATGTATGTATGTATGTATGTATGTATGTATGTTTATTTATTTATTTATATTTCAATTTCTACTGGCAAATTATTGTGTGAACGATGATCCACATAATTGTATGGATCATGAATATCAAATACATTTTTAATATATTAAAAATACATTATTTTTATATTGAATGTACCTTACATACATATATAATGTACCCTTAGTATATTTAAAATATACTTTTTATTACATGCAACCCCAAAGTTCATAAGTTTGAAATTAATATATGGCATAGCTAGGCAGCCTAATATTTAAGATTGTTGATGTGCATATTGAGGACTACGGAGACAAAGACGCGTTATTCGTGGATTCATCGGATACTATCCAACAACACTCTCCAACTTAATTGACGTGAAGTGGCTTAGTAACATTAAGATTATATTCTCGAATTATTAGTTCTCATCTTTTATTGATTACACACTTAATTCGATAGTATTTGGAAGAAAAAATCAATGTTCGAACTAAGATTGTGATTTTGGTCTTTAAAGGTCAATTGTATGTTGCTACATCTAGAGTTAGAAATCTCAAAGGTCTAAAAATTTTGATCCGTGGTGACTCTAAAATTGTAATTCAATTACTATTGTAGTTTACTAAGTTCTTAAAAAGTTGTAATATTAAATACTATGTATTAATTTTTTAATATAGTTTAAGATTTGTAATAATCACCCACCTTAAATATTATTTTAATTGTAAATATATTTATGTTCATAATTTTATCATAGGAATTCACATATAATAATTATTAAATAACAAAAATTTTATATATGAATAAACCTCATATAGAGTATATTTTTATAACATATTTTCCGTGCATCGCACGAGACAAATACTAGTAAAAATTAAAGCACCATCATAATAACAATTTAAGAGTAAAAATAACTAAGAATGAGGGATTGAATTTGAAAGTAGTCTCATATATACTCTTACCTAATTTCCAAAAGTAAAAGGTGTGGGTTGTTTAGCTGGGCGGCTAATTAATTAGTTATTAGTGGTAAGTGCATGGGTTGATAATCCATTATATTGTTTACCTACTCCTACTCATCAAGATAATGACCGGTGAGCATAATATGATATGATATGATGGAGATGATGATGTGCATGCCCACTTTTATTTATTTCCAATCTTTGTTCTTTTCGACATTATTCTTGCTAAACTCCCTCTTAAACAGACTTTCCTTCCACTTTATCTTTCCGTTTATTACACCACATTTAATTCATTTCATTTGTTTCCTTATTTTTTGTTTTCACGATATGTTTATCCGTAAATTAAGTGACCTTACCATGAATTAATAAGTAATATGTGTATCTAGTAGAAGACAACTTCAACTAAGATGATCGGATAATTGATTTGATAACTACAAAATTCCAAGCACGAGTGCATCCATAGGGTGGGAGGGGGAGGGACAATGGGGACAGTTGCCCCCTCTCACCCGCCCCTCTCCACCCCCTTATATATAACTTCGCTCATACTCATACAAAAAATTCTAGTTCCGCACTTGGTTCAAAGTTTGAATTATTGTGGGATTTGTCTATTGATCTTCTTAGTTTGAATCGATCAACTATATATGCATGAGAAATCTAGACTGGTTTACCTCATTGTGGTCCTTCATCAGTTAGGGTCACACGGTGGGCAAAGTAATATGCATATCCAATAAAAAGATGACATGCATGTTAGGGAGTGACTAATAGAGAATGATAATTGTAGGACGTAGGAGTCTCTAGCATAGTTTATTTTAAAAATTTGGGTGCATCTATTATATTAACTGAGATTTTTTTTTTATTTATAAAGAAAAAATGGGAAAAAAAAACTTTTACTTCACATTTTTTCAATTTGAAAATAGAAAGTGGAGAATGAAAAATTGAAAATTTAAAACACGCACACTCTAAATTAACAATTGAACAACATAAAATAGTTGTTTGTTAAGGGATACAATTATATATTGCACAAACAATTTTTTTATTTTTTATTTATAAATGAATCGCAAATTTTTACCACGGTTAGACTATAATATTTTTTACTTTTAAATTAGTGTTTATATAAACACGCATAATTCTTTACAAGCAATATATGTTCTATACTTTCTCAATCTTTTTCAATTTAAAAAAATCAATACCCTTCATGAGTTTAATCTTGTAACTACCTATGGGGGATAGTTATGCTGTGGGCTCGTGCCCAGCGTGCTTCATGGGCACGGATAACAGTGCCGTCAGGCACCGTTATCTTCCCTCTTTTTTTTTTTTTTTTTTTTTTTTTTTTTTTTTTTTTTAAATTTAATTTCAGACCGCTTCGTTATAGGAGCATATATTCACAGCTTTGTGTTCATAATTTCATAACTGTACATTCATAATTCCATAACTGTACATTCATAATTCTATAACTGTACATTCATAATTCCGTAACTGTACATTCATAATTCAATAACTGTAAATTCATAATTTTCGAAGCTCTATGTTCATAATTGTAAGTTCATAATGTCAGAGTTCTATGTTCATAATTTCATAACTGTACATTCATAATTCCATAACTGTACATTCATAATTCCATAACTGTACATTCATAATTCCATAACTGTACGTTCATAATTCCATACTGTATATTCATAATTCCATACCGAACATTCATAATTTTCAAAGCTCTATGTTCATAATTGTAAGTTCATAATTCCATAACTATACATTCATAATTCTATAACTGTACATTCATAATGTCATAACTGTATATTCATAATTTCATAACGAATATGCCGTTAACGACGTTTCGAACAATTTTTTTTTTTTAGTTAAAACAGCGTCATTTTCACGGAAAACGACGCCGTTTTAGCGCCGTGCGCACCTTGCAAGGTGCGCACGTGCGCATAGCATAATTTGCCATTTGGAATGGTAACATTACCAAACCTAACATTATTTATAAATTATAAGTTTTTATAGTGCCAATTATCAGTGGTGCAACCCAAACCATGTATATATATGGATCCAAATTTAAATATTTAGCTTGGTTTGGGCTTCTCTAACTAAAGTTTCCCATATTCTTCATGGACTGGGTACTTTGCGGATTTCAAGTTTAACACACACACACATATATATATATTTGTATAGTTAATATAGAGTTTATTTATTACATATAAATTATATTTGTGTTAAATATAAATTATAATTATATTACAAATTCAAATCTAATTATTTAAACATAAATTATATACAAGCACACATGAAGTTTGTTCAAAACATTTATTCTCTTTAATTAGTAGAGGTTCTAATTCGTAACTAGAAGGTTTGAAGTTCAGGTTTTGGATTATACAAATAATTAAAAATATTTAAAAATAAAATATTTAATTAATATATTAATAAGAAATGAGCTGGTGGGCTGGCTTATTCAACCTGTGTTTAGCCGGATTGGAATAAAAATCTCAACTTGTATTCGAAACTCGGCTCGTTTTTTTCCTAGTCTGTATGAGTCGGGCTATTCCGTTTTAACCGTTCTAGCGTAACTCGTAGGTGTGGTCTAACTGGTCCCAACAGGCTCGTGCACTGCACGCTTCAGCTAGGTGAGTAAAATGTTTTTTTTTTTTGTTAGAATTTTCTTCCCTCTTTTCTTCTTTTCTCTCTCCACATTTTATTACATGTTCTTCCAAAAATCATCAAAAAAAAATTACATTGTTGAGGTTGCTCTACCTTAGAGAATCTCATATATCAATCAAATTTAAAAAAAAAAAAAAAAACTTTTACCAATAACCTTGATCTAATTAAGCGGAAACGTCATTATCATCATCAATAGTAGTATAGTACATAAATGTCTAAACAAGCTTTCACCATCTTCTTGTACTGCTTTGTTATGTCGAGGTAAAAATGGCATATGCATTGAAACTTAAACTTGGCTAGTTGGCTGCACCTTAAAATGGGGTGCACAGAAATTTCCTTAAACTACAAGGCCATATAATATGCGGACATTCACATTCTGAGATCAATGGTCAACATAGTCAAAGTACAACTCACGTCGCTGTGTCTGAGCTGCTGTCCACAATCCAATATAAAATTCTCAAAAATTGAGGAGAGAAAATAATGATTTTTTTTGAAACGGAGAGAAAATAATGATAAAAATGAAGACAGGAGTAATTACATTCATACCATTCCAAATAGCGGCGAGCTAGCCTGCGTCTCTGTTCACACTCCACCCTTTCAAGTGAAGCTCACCGTGTACCCATCCATCCGGAACCTTCTGTCTCCGGCGAGCTTTCCGGCGAAGACTGGCGGACCGTATCTTCAATGTGATCAATCTTTCTGTGTTTCCCGTGAGTTACTTCTCCGTCATTCAGAGACCCTGTACTCTGAAACCTCCAAAGCTTTCACCTTTGCTTTCTTTGAATCTTTTTCTGCTCATCTTGATAAAATGCTTTACATTTGTTTCATCGTTTGCTTGTTAAATACTGGGTTCTCATTTTCTTCTCTTTTTTTGCCCACATTAGGATCTGTTCTGGAATGCTTTTTTTGCAATTGCTATTTTTGCAAATTTTGCCAGGTGATTTTGTTGTTCATAGTCTCATTGAATATAGCCCTGAAATTTGAGTCCATTTTAATTAAACATCTAAATTTGGGATGCAACTTCTTTACTTAATGCATATGGTTATGTCTCCTCTGTCTGTGTATGCATTCATACTAGGAAGTCATAAAAGCCATGTCGGGGGGGGGGGGGGGGGCGGGGGGTGCATGTTGACTTTTGATTTTGATTTTGATAATGTTTAGTTATGTGAAGCTTTCAGCTTTGGATCCTAATGGTAGTGATTTGAAGCTTTCAACTTTGGTTGCTACCAAAACTTTTTGTCTGTGTTGTCTCTAAGTTGTGAAAGTGTGATTGAATATTTGAATATACTTATGCTATCCACAGATTGACCCAGCTTGGGTCCCATGACAGCAAAAAATTTCAATTCAATGCCCTACCAGTTTGCTTATTTTTTTCTAAATAATATTTGTTTTTGAGTCCTTTGAGTTGCTGTGTTTATAGTTATGTGGTGGTCCATCTTTGAAATTGTTTATGTTATAAGGTCTTTGATCGAATCATTTTTTGTGGATTTCATGGTTCTTGACTTCTCACATGTTGATTTTCTTATAGACAAAAAGGTGAACTTTTGCTGTATCTGGGAAGCACCTACAAGGCCCTAATCAGCTCCTCTTTCCAGCTCAAATGGCATCTTTAAGGTACCTGTCTTTGAATGTTACCTTATTCAAACATGTTTATATCCTCTTACTCTTCTGTTTTCACTTCCATTGTTCAAAGTGGTTGCAAAATGTTGAAATTAATAGACGAATTGAATTATAGGATTTCTTGTACTGGCATTGTAAAGCTTAACATGTTTGATGTTCCTGTTCATCCACTGTCTTTTTAATGCTGCAGGGTAGGGGGTGTTTGAGGGTGTTTGAGCTGGAAGTCCATTCAAGCATGATTAAACTCGAGAGAACTGCAATCAGTTCTGTTTTGCTGTTATGGATCTCTATCCGGTTCTTGTTTTCTTCAGTCTCGTGTTCACAGATTCCATTGGGTTCCAGACTTTCTTCGCTGGAGAATAGCTATTGGGTCTCGCCAAATGGGTATTTTGAAATTGGATTCTTTAACTACTCCTGCCGACATACTTTTGGAATACGATTCAGTTCGAGTTTTTTCCCAGACAATGAACACGATGCAGTTGTTTGGGTTGCCGGGGCTAACATTAGAGTTGCTGGCGATTCATACGTGGAGCTAACCCATGACGGGGAACTGATTTTGTACAGCTCTGCAACTGGGGGAATCGCTTGGATTAGCAATAGTAGCAATGCTGGTATCGAATCAGCTGTTCTTCGTGATGACGGTAACTTTGTACTACTAAATCAAAAGAACGAGGTTGTTTGGCAAAGTTTCAGCTCACCGTCTGACACACTTCTCCCTGGCCAGAATTTGTCAGTTCCCAATTTTCTTCGGGCTTCCAGCAAGAGTCCAGATGATAGTCATTACACTCTTTATATGAATGCTTCTGGGGAGTTGCAACTTAGGTGGGATGGCAGTGTCATTTACTGGACTTTGGGAGATCCTTCTCGACCGGCTGTTCGAGCCATACTTAACAACGAAGGGATCTTTCAAGGTCATGACCAAAGATCTAACGTTATTTGGTCCATATTTGGACAAGACTTCAGTGATAGAGATGTGAAATTTCGGTTTCTTAAGCTAGATTTTGATGGCAATCTTCGACTATACTCGTGGAGAAATGATTCGAGGTCATGGAGATCAGTCTGGCAAGCTTTTGACAACCAGTGCAAAGTCTTTGCAACTTGTGGCCTCCATGGCGTTTGTCTCTTCAATTCAACCGCCTCCCACATTTGCGATTGTCCATTTACTTCCACAGGTGACTCGAGCTCGGAGTGCTTGGTTCCATACCAACCAAATTGTTCATCTGGAATCTCCATGATTCGACACGACCACATGTTCTTATATGGAATCTTCCCTCCAAATGAAACGGTGGTACAAACGAGTTTGCAGCATTGCCAACGCCTCTGTGAAGAAGACTCGCTTTGTTATGCTGTGTCCTTCGTAAACGACGGGGTTCCACAGTGTCGAATTAAGAAATCCCAGTATGTTAGTGGTTGGGTAGATCGTTTGTCGAGTTCAATCTCTTTTGTCAAGACTTGCTCAAATCCTATTGCTGTTTTGCCCACCGAAAAGGACAACAAAGCAGACTCGTCGTCAGAAATCTGCAAACTATGTCTTATAGAAGTTTCCATGGCATCGGTTCTTGCGTTTATTGTGATTCAGTTGGGGATTGGGCTTTACATACACAGACGTAGAAGATATGTTGGGAAGAAAGCCGTTTCCTTGAATCTAATGCCTAATGCTAGTGGTTGTATCGTGTTATCCTACCTTCAAATCGAGGAATTGACGGGGAATTTCAAGAACCAAATTGGACCAAAGATGTTCAAGGGCGTACTTCCAAGTAAGAGGTTAGTTGTAATTAAAGATCTGAATATTTCCATAGAGGAAAGAAAGTTCCGAAATGCTGTTCTGAGAATAGGAAATATACATCACAGAAATCTTGTGAAACTCGAAGCTTTCTGTTGCGAGTCTAACTATAGGTTCTTGGTTTACGAATTTGCCAAGAACGGGTCCCTGGATAAGTGTTTAGGAGATCCTAAAATTTGCAAGAGACTGACATGGAGAAAAAGAATAAATATATGCCTAAGTGTAGCGAGAGCTGTGTCCTACTTGCACACCGGATGTAGAGAGTTCGTAAACCACGGGAATCTGAAATGCGAAAACGTGGTTTTGGATAATGGTTTGGAAGCTAAGGTGAGCGAGTTCGGGCTGAGGGCACTTCTACCCGAGCCATCCAACAACGAGGGTCGAGCAGAGACAGATGTTCGAGATTTTGGTACGATGATGTTAGTTTTGATAACTGGGAACCAAAATGCTTGTAAATGGGCATATGGCAAATGGGCTGGAGGTGAACTGGAGACAATAGGTGATAAACAAATAGAAAGCGGGATCGATTTAGGTGAGCTGGAACGTGCATTAAGACTGGCGTTCTGGTGCCTGCAGGCTGATGAGCGAATGAGGCCTTCAATGGGAGAAATCGTGAAGGTATTAGAGGGCACGCTAGCTGTTGATCCTCCACCGCCTCTTTTTGGTCACCCGAATCAACACCCAGCTCCAAAAGAAGAGCCAACACCATCACCCTCGCCATCTTCTCCAGGCACGTAATATAGTCCCAAATTGAGTTCAAACGTACATCCTGCTTGGATAATTTCTGTATAGTTTTGCTAACTGCTAGGTGCCATTTAACTTGAAATTAGGATGGCCATGAATGTTGTTCTTATGAAACTCCATTTTTGTTAGATTCCCTAATCAAAATTTAACTTGCATTCCAAACCTGATGCATTTACATTACAATGAATTGAAGTAGTATTTCCTAGTATCTGCATACAGTTACAATGTATACATCTTAATTACTACTCCGTACTAGTTTACAAATACATGGGTGTTGAATTGGCTGTCAACATATCTGACCATGTCAAATGTTAAATGTTGGTTCAAAGTGGTCCTTAATCCTCATATCCACTAGCTGTCATCTGGTTCTAAAGTCCAACCTTAAAATTGGATTCTTGCTACCTGGGTTGTTTGCATCTGGTTTTCAGACAGTGAAAGCCCTGCAAATACTATATATATATATATATATATAGGGATCGTTCAAGTGCGAAGGCTCCCCTAGGTGAAAGATAGGGTGAAATCTGAGCTGTTGATCTAATCTAGATCAACGGATCAAATCAAGAAAAATTATTAAAAAAATCGCGCTTTGCCAACATGCATGCAAATGATTAACTGTCTCAAACTGATACACCTTAGATATAAAACTATGCACCTTATGTTATAAAATCACGCACCTTAAGGTATAAAATAGCGCACCTTAAGTTTAAATTGATGCATCTTAAACTAGAAAAATGACGCACCTTAAGCTTTAAATATAAACATCTTAAACTATGGAAAGACGCACCTAAAACTTTAGACTGATGCACCTTAAATTAGAAAAGTGACGCACCTCAAGCTTCAAATATACGCACCTTAAGAAGGAAAACGATGCACCTAAAGCTTTAGACTGACACACCAAGTTTCAAAAAAAAAAAAAAAAAAAAACGCGTCTTAAGTTCTCAACTAAAGAACTGACGCACTTTAAACATAAAAACCACACCTTAAGTTTGACCAATACGCACAAAAAACCAAAGTGCCATGGCATTTTTTTTTTATAAGTTTTCTTCAATCTAGACTGTTGATCTCTCTCTCTCTCTCCCTCTCTCTCTCTCTCTTTATATATATATATATATATATATATATATATATATATATATATATATATATATATATATATATATATACACACGCACGCACATACATGGATGAAGATTTTTTTTTGGGTCATATAATAATATATGTCATGACATTGGCTGTAACTACTCACCAGAACTCTGATGTATGTTTTATGAGTCAAACTCTAAATGTCTTAAATTATGTATTGACATGATCATAATACTCACCTAACCTTGTTTAGGTTAATGTGGGTCAACAAATTTATTAGTTGTTCATATGGAAGTTTCTACTCTATATTAATTATATGCATTTTCTAGTCTTATCAATAGCTGTTATAAGTCATGGTTTCCAGCCTCCTAATTTCCTAAATAGGAGCAAGTGTTGGAAGAAGAATCTAGATTGGCATAATTAGTAAAAGATATTTGGTTTGAATAGTCAAACCTTAAAATTTGAATTAGTTTTGAGTTTGATCGAGCTCTAATTTGTTTATTTCAAACTCTGTTCAAATATGTTCAATAATTTTTTTTGTTTTGTTTTTTTACACAAAAAAATTGTAATAATAATCATTCTATAATTTAATATCATAACAAAATTCACTATTACATATCAATTATATTATTTTATAATATATAAATATGTAAGTTAATTTTTAATATTATACTTATATTTTATATTAAGTATAGCTCAATTAGGTTTGCGAGCTGTCTAAGTTATGTATTAAGATGCTCAAATTTAGTTCGATTTGTCAGGCTTGAGCTAAACAATAACTTAATTGAATTTAAATACTTATCGAATTGAGCTTGAATAGCTTAATGATAACTTGCGTACACACATATAATACAATAAGTACATAAAAGTTACACCAACATTAGTGAATCTATGTACTTACAGTAATGAATTTATGTATTTACCGTAGTGATTTTTATAAACCAAATTTATGTATATAAAATAATGATTTTATGTATGTATGGATTTATTCAAAACAATTAAAAATTATTGAGGTAAAATTTTTGGACCAGGGATCCTAGTCTACAATATCTACAATCTACAATACTAATAAGAACCCAAAAGAGTTAGGCCTATATTAGGTAGAAAAAATGGCGGTCAAATTTTTTAATCAAATGAATGACTCAGATTGATTAGATTTTAATTTTTCCTTGAGATTTCCTAATTTATCCTTAATGAATATGATTATCCGTTAACTTTTCCGTTAAATAATATCTTTTCCGTTAGTCTGTTAGTTCACCGTTAACTTACTCATTGATTTCAATAAGAAATGTCTTAGGTTCAAACCCCATCCCAATCAAAGTTGACATAATTAATTAGTACTCTATTTAGAATTATGTGTCTACAATGCATTTATTCAAAAAAAAATTATTCATTATCAATAAATTAAATAAGAGAAATAGTTTCATTAGTTTTATTGTCTTTATTTTTCTCCAATATAAAAATTCTTTACATTCAAAATTCAAATTCATCAATTGATTATATTCGCTACGTTGTCCCTACAATGTCTTTATTAAAAAAATTATTCATTATCAATAAATTAATTAAGAGAAATAATTTTATTAGTTATATTGTTTTTATATTTCTCCAATGTAAAAATTCTTTACATTCAAATTCATCAGTGGATTATATTTACTACATTGTCTATTATCTTTTTTTGTGCACTATTTTTTAATTAAATATCAAAGTTATAATACAAAATAATGCTATATATTTATTTACCGAGTATTTTATTAATACAATACCATGAAAAAAATTCAAAAAATATAATTAATAAAGCCAATCATATTAATTACTTTGAGGAATTTGTTGACAAAAAGAGTATTCAAATCACACAACAAATTGAAGTGATAACTATCTCGCAATGTCCTTGTTTGACAATCAGCAGTTAGCGGTTAGCGTTAGCAGATTATATTAGCGAATTTGACCAGCAAATTATATCAACGGTTGGTAAAAAGATATTTAAAAATTAGTTATTTATATTAACATGTAAAATGACCTAAGGGTATACATATATTTAATAATAATAATAACAACAACAACAACAACAACAACAACAACAATAATAATAATAATAATTTTATATATATATATATATATATATATATATATATATATATATATATATATATATATATATATATATATATATATATATATATATATATATATATATATATATATATATATATATAATTAAGCCAATTATATTAACTACTTGGGGGGTTTATTGATAAAAAGAGTATTCAAATCACACAACAAATTGAAGTGGAAAACTATCTCGCAATGTCCTTGTTTGGCAATCAATAGTTAGCTCTTCAATATTAATATATATTTAATATTTTATGCCCTAATTTTTATTTGTTCTCCCTTATGTCCCGTATTTGGTTTCAACCATACCTATACAATTATTTTATTGACAATTATAATCAATCTTGACTATATTATCTTGCATTTGTAAACTTAGAATTGCCTTTAAATACACAAATTTAACATTTAATTATCTATGCATGAACAATTCTAATATAATCTTGCCTTGATATACTTTAAAGTACTTATTTAAAAAAAAAAACATTGGACATTATCCCAATCGTGCAATGCGCGTAAAAAACAAGTAAGTATATAACTACTGATCAAGACTTGGGATCTCCCTATGCTATGACAAATTATACTATAGATCATGATTCGTATTGTAATATGGACTATTAATAAATGTTCATCTTTAGTATAATAAAGGTTCATTTTTAGTATATTAACAATTTATTTTTTAAGTAGTATAAAATAAAACTTTAAAAAATGATCATTTAATATATATAAAAAATAAACCTTATGCAATTGGTTGATGGTATAGTGGTTGAATGGTGTTAGACCAGGCTAATTATTGCGCTCTACCATTTTATGTATTTATCAATCTTTGGGGCTTTCAGGTGAATTGACCTTGGCCCATTTCAGGCTCTCTTGTCCGCAAATTATGCTTTGCAAACCATGTATGGTGCACACGGTTCTAAAAATGTCGTTTTGATTAAAAACTCGTGTCCCACTTTTAAAAAAAAAATCATATTTAATTTCTGATAATAGCATTTTTTTATGCATAATTTGAATTATATATCCACAAATTCATAACTATATATCCACAGTGAATGAATAACACAAAATTCAGAATAAATGAACTAAATATCCACATTGAATGAACAACATAATGCTATTGAGGGAAATCGAAACTGATTTTTTTTTTTAAATAAGACGCGTGTTTTTAATCAAAACGACGTCGTTTTGCAACCGTGTGCACTATGAATAGCATAACTATTGTCTCTTGTCTCAGAGCTATTTTTTTTTTGGTCAGATATGAGTTTTAAGAGTGCTCTCGGAAAAATAAATAAATAAATAAAAACCCACACCATTTCATTTCATATACCCCATAGAAGCTTTTTATTTTTAAAATTGCAAGTGATAGATGGTGATAAAAAGGCAACCAAAAAGCACAACCGGATATAAAAGAAGATCCGATCACTCCCCAACCCCCCTTTTCCTAAAGTGACCCAAATTCCGGCCAGTTTAACAATCACATTTCTTTTTCTTTTCCCAATGTTTTGTTTTATTAATTTTTTTTAAAATTTTTCACTCTTCATGATGCATAAGTAAATATATATATTTTCTTCAATTTTGTACGTATTTGTTCAAAAAAAAAAAATTATCCCATCCAAATTTTCCAAAGACACTATAAAAAATCTATGTTGCCTATTAAGTACAATATAATCCTACCTCCAATAATTCTCCAAATATATAACTAAAATCAGAAAATACAAAATGCCAATTCGATCAAAGTGAAAATAATGGTGATGATGATGAGATGAGTGGTGGAGCAACCAAACAAAGTGTTTAGAAATTACATGTACGTGGATGGTAGGTATCCAAAAATCTGTACAAACCAAACCAAACCAAGACTCAACACTCACAGGAGTTCATGACCAGATCAATTACAAGCTAATTAAGCTATCTAGCACACATACACTTTCATTTCATGCACTCCATTATATTCTTCTCATCTTTTAATTTTCATCAAGGCATGCAAAATAGGGTACCCAGTGAGTGGTAAAAATGAGAAAAGGGTCACCCTATATGCATATTATTTATTGTATACTAATAGAAATAGAAATAGAAATAAGCTAATTAAGAAAGGAAGCTAGCTAGCTAGAAGAAGGAACGCTTGACAGGAGCTCTACCCACAGCTCTCATGAGGTTGGATATCTCAAGAACTCTTGCCACCTTTGTTCCCCTCGTTGCCTCAGCCGATGCCCTTCTTTCTTCTGCTTTTCTTCGCGCTTTTGCTATGTCGTTTTGCATCTTTTCTAATGCTTTCGCTCTCTTCTCTTCCAGTTTTCTCTGTAACGTAACGTAACATCTCACATATATACTTTCACCTTTTATTTGTTTTCACGGGATACATGCATATCACATAATAATCTAACACAAAACTTATTCGTTTTCACTAATTAATTAAGAGTAATTCTTTCATTTTCACCCGTTTTTGATAGATCCAAATTTAGGTATAGTAGGTAAGTTATCGAAAACTACGACAGAATACAATTACACTGAACATTAAAAAAATAAAGGTGTAATGAAATGTATAGATCACTAAGGGGACAGCTAGCTAGCAAAGCAATTAAGAAGAATTGACATAAAGACTATTTTAGGTTATCATTATCCTTAGCTTACCAATTCTATCATATCCATTCACTTGATAAAGATAACACGTGTACGTCTATATTGTGGCCAGTCCATATTCATGAATCATGATGTTTTTGAAAAATAATTAAAGTGATTGATTATACGCATATTAGCCTTAACGTAACTAAACCTGAGATAACTTGAATTGCTACAATTATTACCTTAATTAACTGTTTCAAATTTTTACTGTTGAAAAAATAATTGAACCAAGAAATTCAAACTCGATCTTAGCTTTCAATCATTACTAGCTAGATACTGTACTATACGAAGACTACGTGCATGCAGTAATTAACTAATTAATTACCGGTAATTATATTAATTATCCCATGCATATATAGGACCGGACGTACTATACTATTACGTACCTCAACTTTCTTCATCCAAGAATTTGCTTTCTGAACTTCTTCACTCTCCCACCCATTAATGATCGCATCTTCCCGCTTAAACCTGTTATTGATCTTTGCAATTTTCGCAGTTTGCCACGCGCTAATCTTCGACTCAACCTCCTCTTTCTTCACCCTCTGCACCGTTACTTCGCCGCTCACAGTGGAAGCCCCACCGGCGGCGGCTCCGCCGCGTCGAGGCGACGAGGACGCCATATCCGGCACAATCGCTAGAGGGTTGGTCTCCTGTTCCGGGGGTTCATCCTCCCCAATCCGTCCCAGCTGGTTGTTGGGGCCGCCGTCATGTTCGGCGCCATTAACGTTGTTGGGATTAAAAGAGGATCCGGCGAGGACCAGGGCGTTAAACTCCCGGCTCATGGTGGTGAAGTTCTCCGACGGCGCGCCTTCTGTGCTAGCGATGGAGAGAGACGACGAGGATCTGAGGCGGGCGGCACGGTTGTTCTCCGGCGGCGGGGGTACTGGGGGCGGGCTCAGAGCGTGGATGTCCCTAACGTGTTCTTCTTCTTCATCATGGTGGCTGGTGCTTGCGATGGCTAGTTGCAGTTGATCATTCAGCGACATATTGTGTTGGATGGATGGGGGATTTGTTTTTTTCTGGTTTTTTTTCTTTGGGGGAGTTAGTGTGTGGTGGCTGGTTGTGCAAAGTGGTGGGGAAAGAGAGAGGAAAGAGGGTGGAGCATAATATTGATTAATGATTATTGATTGTAATCAAAGGGGATTGTCAAGTGATAAGAGCCACACATACATGAAACGTATAACATAATAATAATGGTGATTGTCGGCATGAGAACTCAGTTGGTCATAGAGGTGAAATTTGAGAATAATGACCCAGCTCTCGGGATCGAGTCGGGATCGAGTCTGATCAACGATGGTGAGGGGGCTCCCTTCTGTGTTAACTCAACAATGACCCGACTCTCGGGATCGAGTTTGACCAGCCACAATGAGGAGCTCCCCTCTGTGTTAAATTGAGTTACAATAATTTACATTATGCTCTTTTGGGGTGGAGCCCAAAGGCTCTCCTACATACGACTGTAGTAGTAACTTTGTGGTACGCGTTGATAATTTTATGGTTGTCAAGGCATACCCATGTGATATTGTAACTGTAATTAGCCTATCAGGACTTGATCCTAGCATTCTAGCTATTCTTTACCGCCTAAGAACCAACTGAACTGTATTATTCGTGTGACAAATTCAATTTAATTATTAAATACTAGATGGGCAAATGCCATGGTAACATATCATATTGTATGTACTTAATTAGAAATTAGAAATGTTATTTATTTAACAATTAATTGTACCCAAAAAAAAAAAATCATAGATGTTACCTCCTTTTGATGAATGACAAGAAGATAATGAATGCACTAAACAAGAGCATGCCTTGTACGTAGCCAAGTTTGCCCCGCGAAGGGGGGAAAGGGAAATCCATATATAAGTTTGAAATTGATATATGATCTTATGGATGATAGAGTATTGGACTTCCTCAATTTTGATTTGTCAAAGTTTTTAGTATATTCTAGAATGACCCCTATTTTTTCTATTTATTTTATGTTTTTATTCAAATTATATACACAAAATTGTGTTGAATCTATTTTTCCCATTTTAACTAGAGTACTGTACTGTTTAATTCACATAAATATTTTTGGTTGGTAAGCAATTCCAAGAATTAATAAAGATTTGTCCAATTTCTTTTTAGAAATGGAAATAAAGTAAAAGTAAAAATTACACGTATTTAAGATCATATCAACAAAAGATTAAAAACTAATGGGTGTATCCTATCCTAATTAAAAATTCTAATCAATTTTTAATTTTACTTATATTAAACGAAAATTGATGAATCATGCATACAATTTCATTGGGATATCAGAAAAATACACACCAAAAAAGAAAAAAAAAAAAAAAAAAAAAAAAGAAGTAATGGGTGCATCCAAATGAACAATTCGAGTGAATTCCATTTTTAGTCCTACTGTTATAGGGGTGTTTCCAATTTCAGTACACTTTAATTTTTTTTGCCACTTTACAACCACTGTTATTGAATGTGTTCCACTTTTAGTCCACCGGTAATATTTCCGTCAAGAGGCCGTATAATCAAAGGTAATTTTGGTCTTTTTATGTTTGTCTCTTCTCTTTTAATCCAGGCGCTTCGTCCTCCTCCTTCGATATTCGAAGATGGCTCTTCGAACAACGAGAATGGGAAGCCAAAGCTACATCGTTTCGTTCGTTCCAACATGGGCCGTCAAGGTTTCTTAGGTTTTAGGTTTAATGTTCTCATTTCTTTAGTCAAACATAGTCTTGGATGAGAAGAAAGATCAAAATACCCCTAGATTACACGACCTCTTGATGAGAATACTAACGGTGGAACTAAAAGTGGAACACATTCAATAATGGTGGTTATAAAGTGGCAAAAAAAATTAAGGTGGACTAAAATTGGAAACGCCTCTATAACAGTAGGACCAAAAATGGAATTCACTCGAACAATTCTAATAAATTTTTTATTAAAAGTTTGAATTTAAATACATCTTTCTTATTGAATTATTTCATTTACAACTTAAAATGACCTCCCAGTTGAAAATCACATCATCAAAACTTAAAATTGTTAAATAAAATTTGCAAGTAGTAGAGGAAGTGTTATAGGATATGCTCATATGCTTGGTGAAAAGTAGGTCGACACAAATATTAAATTACATCAGCAAATCTACTAGGGTTTGATTTGAATATGAAAGAAAATAAAAGTACCGTTTACAAAATTCACAAGGGAGTGAGGCCTCCAAGAATAAATTTTAAAAAAATGAGGCAGGGACTGAATTGCAAATAAGGAAAACACTCACTTTCATCTTTTTGTTTTGCAAGGAGTGTCGGCCTTGAACGAGTAGTACGATTCCAGTGGACCCTACACACCTACTAGGAATTGTGGTGGTGGGCCCGTTGTTAAGCCACTCACGCGTCTCATGCTAAACAATGGGACGGGGAACGTGGCGAGCTCCCATTGGTTGGTAAAAACACGAGGGCCCCACTTTCGACTTTACGCATGCAGGTTGACCCAGTAACCGTCGGATAGAGGACACGTGTGCGCATCACCATCTTGGAAGAATTGGGTCGCCAATACGCCTACGTCTCACGTGACAATCAGTATATTATTATTATTATTATTATTATTATTTTATTATTATTATTATTATTATTATTATTATTATTATTATTATTTATCAAGCGCCATTAACTTACAAATTACTTGTGTAATGACGTTGACATAAAGTACTAAGAAAAGAAGTACCCTACTAATAATAATCTCTTTTATTTGAATAATAGTACGGGGATATAATAGTAATTTTATATTAATTATCGACATTTAATTTTAATATATTCAATTTTATATGTACCTGCAAAATGATAATGTTTGGTGAAATATTTGACATATTAGATTAAATATCGAATAGTTTTGAAAATTTAAAAACAATCAAAATTACAAAGTTAATGGTTAAGTTGGAAATGATCACTATACTAATCTTGTTTATGGTATTGGTGATTGCTAAATTTGCTAATTTTTGTGATTTAGAGATAATTGCTAAAATTTGTTCATTTTGTAACACATACACATCCACTTCAACTTTCTGATTTTATCTATTACTATTTATTAATTAAACCAATTACTTTTTATTTGTTTATTTTCTTTGATTTTTTTAAATAATTCTTAAATCTGAATTTGTACACAAATTTAAACTAATCATTACACAACAACAACAAAAAATTATTATAAATAATTGATTTAAGTTTCATTAATTGAATCAAAGAAATGAGACAAATGGGTATTATGTTATAAATTGAGAAAGTACTCATATAGTATAGCTCAAGTAGTTAACCAATTCAAAAAAAAAAAAAAAAAAAGAGTTAGTTGATATGCTATTTTTCTTTTAATCACAATTGGAATTTGTTGTCATTATTAATAATGTGCACAAAGTAAACTATGCTTCTGCGTCACAAATCACATAAGAAAGGTAAAGCATATTATGAAGACTTTGTACAACGATCGACTCAATTGATGAGATCAAATTTATTTACAAGAAGTTAACTTGTAACTTTTTGATATAAAAATCATGTTCTACTCACGAATGATGATATCCGATATCCACTGTGGTTTGTAATTCTAGAAAATAATGCAGAAAGTAGTTAGGGGAGATGATTGATTTTTATGCATGTTTGGCTGTATATGAAATATAATATACGGTATGTTGATGTAAATGGAAGTGTGGGATAATGTAAGAGCGGAAAATGACATATGTCCACTAATATTAATCACAAGAAATTAGCTAGATGACAGGTGTTTGCTATGTTATGGGAACAAAGGGCTGTGAAAGTGATCCATATTATGTAATATGTAGTGATGATATGATGATAGGTATTTATAACATATAATATTCTAGCTATAGCTTGTTTTGGGTGATCTACACGGGGGACTTTGCTTCTTATAATTATTTTACATTATATTATATTATATTAGTTATTCAGTGAACCACTACAAGGATGCTCCTCACCACTTATGGCAGAGGTGCTCGCATGTAAGGAGACTCTATCGTGGTTGAAAGATCGGGGAGAACAGAATATTGAGATCTTTACGGACTGCTTGACACTACATCACTATCTTACTACTCCAACTATTGTGCTGCGCACATATCTAGGCTATGCCATTGACACTTGCAGGCTTATTGCATCTTCGTTTCAGTCTTGTTCGTTTTATTTTATTCCTAGAGTACAGAACCATTTAGCTCATGCTTTAGCTACTACGGCTTATCAACAAACTACAATTATGTATTAGGATCTACACCCACCGGATATTATTTCGGCCTATTTTTAATGAAGCATCATAAAATTTTTTCAAAAAAAATATTAGTTATTGGCCAACTTCATTATTTGACGAAGTTAATTTGTTGGCATCATTATATTTATTTATTTTCCTTGCCCTTCTTTTTCCTTATATTTATTTATTTATTTATTTATTTTTTATTATATTATTATTATTATTATTATTATTATTATTATTATTATTATTATTATTATTATTATTATTATTATTATTATTATTATTTTGTAATAATTAGTGTGATAAAGCTAGAAAGTGAGGGAAATAGTGAGCTAAAACAATAAGTTAGTTATTGTTTCCAATTCTTGCCACTTGGCTTGAACACAGTTTTCACACACACACACACACACACACACACACACACACACACACACACACACACACACACACATATATATATATATATATATATATATACTTTTATATTAATAATGAGATGTGTAATTTATAATGTGTTTTCTATTAGAATTATTTTATCAAATTAATTATGTTTCATATTTTGTTATAAGTATTTTTATAAAGTTTTGATGTGTTTTATTTTTCGCTCATATCTAACAATATTTATGGCTAACTTCTTAAGTTTTTTTTTTTTTTTTTTTTTTTTTTTTTTTTTTTTTTTTTTTTTTTTTTTTAAGTTATCCCTTTTGTTTGTTTTAATGTTTCACAGAAGCTCTTGATGCTTAACATTTTGTTATAAATTTATAGACATTTTTTATTATTTGAACTTTGCCCCCACTCAACTATTTTTCTGGGTCCGCCACTGATTTCCATTATTTGTATTCTTGTTAGACATTGATCTCGTACGTCCCAAACTTAAATTTGTATAATCATGGGTTGTGATATTATTACATAGAATATATATCTATGTATGCTCACCATTCTTATATTACCAAAATAACGATAATTATGGTTTGCGAAA